TTCCAACACACTCGGAAACGGATAGAGACAATGTTCGCGTAAAGCGCTCATACGTGAAACGTGGACTGACAGTTCCGGTCTTAGGCTTAATGGCATTCCACAACGTAGCATCATAATAGGCCTCATGATGAGGAGGTAGATTCCATGCAGAGCTGAAGCCAGAAAGGCTGACGCCAAGCTTCGATCCATTAGTGCCAATGAAAAAAAGATTTTCTAAGGCAGGAGAATGGATGGAGAAACCTAAAAGTTCTTCACAAACTTTCACAGGAGATAGAGCGACTAGCTCAGCCAGGGATAATGAAGGAGTCTCACCTTCATTACCAAGAGTAGAACGGGCGGCATCACGCAACGCAGCAGAGAAGAGGGCAGAAGAGGTTTGAGAGACAAGAATACCGGGCGGTGCACCATGCTGCTGGTCTTTGTCCGTCTTGCCTCCCTCACCCCCACTTGAAGTAACACTTGTCTCAGTCATAGGGAAATGATTAGGTAGTTATCGAGTAGTATGGCAAGTTGCCATAGGCAACGCTAGACTATATCACATAGAAGCTAAGCAGAGCTTAGGATATCGATCAACAGGGCCAGCGCTGGTAACACTGGCACAAGGGGACAGAGAGAGATGGATAGATGTGTCGACTATTCACGAGATATCGTGTGCATACGCGATCAACGTCAATTCCAAACGAATTCGACACAATAGGAATAGGCAGCAACTGATAGAGATGCACTTCTCCGAATTTTACTGCCGTTTCAGCAGTAAGAGAAGTGAAAAGAGTCAACATACCACAACAAATCGCATACAGACCTAACGTTACTAGAAGAAAAGTCTTGCCCACCCCGGGTCCCCCGGTGATAACCGGGAATCTAGAGAACCCGAGGGGGGCATTCAAGTATTTATTAATTTCATTCTTACAAAAATCGAGAACATTCTGCTGTTCTATCACAGACGATACACTCTGATGCACTCCCGCACTAATTTGCGGATCCCAAGACAATGGATTAACAATTGACGAGTCCATAAATTCTGCTTCTGTGCGATAATCCAGATTGACTTGTGCTAAAGCAGCCTGGATTGTCGACAACTTTCGCTCACGTATCAATTTCAGAAGATCACTTGTTGCCCGATCATAAAGGCCTCTTAGTAATACTCCAGGCAAAGTTGACATACGCGCAGTATCATTCAGTGCATTTTCTATAGCCCCATAGGCTGCAACGAGAAATATGTCGAATGCATGTGTGCCACCCGCTGGATAATACAACAGCTGCTTCAAAGTATACTTTCTGACAATATTCATTATATCAAGTCGTGGAATGCAAGTAACATGAGTTTCTCCTATCAAGCCACTCCTAACGAACACATCCCGGATTGATGGCCCCCGAAAAAGATCCAATTCCGTCTCATAATGGCCTAAAGTTATAGCTAAATGAATGAGGAACTTGGGCTGATTAGTTGGAGATACATTACTATTGAGAATGATGGGCTCTGCTTCATACGAGATATAACGTTCATGGAGAGGTGTGAGATCACTCGATCTGGCAAGTGGAAGAAATAGATTCTCAAGTAGCTCAAAAGCTGAGGTTTGATGTCTAGTAGACGACTCATTTCTATTACGTATATTCAAAAGATATTCAATACAACGAGGTAAGCAACATGCACGTACAAGATATATAGCGCCTAACATATCAACGAAAAATCCTGCAGGAAACGGACAACCTATCTGTTCATCTATCGAGAAACCAACTACTAGTTTACGAAACGCTGGAGTATTAGGAACAAAGCGTATAAACCATGTATAAAACCACTCTATGTATCCGAACACTAATAGTTCTGGTGGTCGAAGACTGAACAGTGTTACTTTGTCAAGCTTACTTTCGAGTTAATACGATCTACAAA